TAAACTGCAGAGTCCTGGCCTGTAGATGAGTGTAAACTGCAGAGTCCTGGTCTGTAGATGAGTGTAAATTGCGGAGTCCTGACCCGACAAAGTATGTAGCTCGTCTGTGCTGACTCATTCTTTGGAACAGTGTTGTTTTGTTTCCCCAATGTATAACTGATCACAGTCCTCCTGACACTTAACAGCATATTTATATACAGTATTACTAAATTACTCTGTTTTTGCCAAATTAAATGAATAAATTTCTAAAAAAAAATAGTAAAACTGTGTCGATATTAACATCTGATATTGATTTCCCACTTGTTGCCGTTTAGGTTTCTGTTTCGAGAGGGGAAATGGTTGGTCGAGCTGGATCTGTTTGATCATGATAGTGATGCTACACAGCCAGAAATAACTAAGGCAGAGAGCCATGTCAGAGGTCTGGTCATTTTTTACTGTATCAAAAAAAGACACAAGTGTGTTTGTGTGCTGGAGGGCATCCTAGAAACTTTACTCCCCGGCCAAAAATAGTGTCCACCTGGATTTAACTAAGTCCTATGATGTGGGGTTGCTGCAGTTGGTCAGGTCTAGGTTCAGCAACAGTTTGAGCTCAAAGAATGAGGTCAGTTGACCTGAATATACTGAATGACCAAGTTATTCCATGAATGGATTGTTTCTTCCTGATGACACGGCCATATTCCAAGATGACAATGACAGGATTCATGGGGCTCTTATTGTGAAAGAGTGGTTCAGGGAACATGAGACATCATTTTCACACATGGATTGGCTCCACAGAGTCCACTGAGAATCTTTGGGAGTTGCTGGAGAAGGTCAGACTCCACCATCATCAATGAAAGATCTTTGTGAAAAATTAATGCAACACTGGATGGAAATAAATCTTGTGACGTCACAGAAGCTTATCAAAACAACGCCACAGCAAACGCGTGTGTTTGTGTAATATCGTAAATATCGGTTATTGGCCATAACGGCAATATTAATACCTGATATTGTTATCGTCTGAAATTTTCAAATCGGTGCGTCACTAATATGAATAATACATGACAGAGCTGTGTGACCTTTGAACTCTGAGTCAAACACAAAGATCACGTGGATTAAATCTAAAGTCAATCAGACGTTCTGTGGCTGGGAAGAGCTCTGACATCATCTGTGGAAACTCAAGCCTGACTGAGGAGGACATTAGAATGAAATCCTTTGTGACTTTTATTTGTTCATGTTATACATCTGTAACATCAACAACAGTTGACGTTTTATCAATTATTTTATACTTTACTTCAGTATTATTAAACAAAGCAACTCCACCACCTCTTTTATTACTTTTATTCCTGTAATACAGCCCATACCCCTGACTGCTATCATATTAAAAATTGGTTTAACCCTCAGTTAATAATGTTGATTAATAACACTGAAATACCTTAGTTAGTGCTTCTAAATTAAGCCTATAAATTCAGCAAGTGCTAATCCATTTAATCCACTAATAAATTTTAAAATGAGCAAAAGCCCCCAAAAGCACTAATCAGGAAATTAGTACCCCTATTAGTGCTTTAGGGGAACTGTGCCCACCACTGGTTATTTTGATAAACTAGCATTCATACTTCTACTATTAAAAGAATAATACAGAGACCTCCATTTGTCATAATGAATTGCTCTTCATTATAACATTCAGAGTCTTTGATTACAGGAAAAAAAAATATGACTCATTCATATAATCTACATTACATTATATTCTTCATATGAAGTCATATTTTATTTTCTGTCCATTTTTCCCATATATTTTAGATCTTTTTGTACTTTAATTCCTTTGCATCAAGTTGTTTCAGTTATTTTATTTTGTAATTTGGTCCCTCCTAATTAATCTAAATCCTTTAAAATCCTTCAGCTCTTTTTTTATTCTAGCCTGAGACCCTTCTTTTGTTCTGATCCGTTTGTTTTCATTTCATGTCCGAATTGCTGTTATAATTTTTTTGAACAACCTTGCCTCACATGCGATGTTTACATTCTTTTTGGTTAAATGTTCATTAATGTATACATTTGTTCCCTATGCTTTTTTATTTTTGGCTTGCATTATCAAATTATTCCTTAATTTTCCACTAAAGAACCTGATAATGGTTGATGGTAGATGGTTTGAACTTTTCTGATTCATCAGGAAAGACGTGACATTTCTGGTTGACTTGCTGCCACACAAACAATTTAATACTGTGACAACACTTCCAGTGCCAATTTCACCAAAGTCATGTGAACCTCAGGATTTTAGGTTGGACCTTGGATCTTACTGAACCTCCATCAAGCATCCTGGCTTTAGAACCCGACTCCAGAAAGCTGAACTTTAAGGCAGTGGTCTTACCACAGGTGGGTACGTCTTCCTCTGCGGATGACGTCTGCTCGTCTGTGGATGGCTTCTTCTTCCCCAGTCCGATGATCTTGGTGATCTTCTTGCTGGCTCCCTTCCCCACAGTCCCAGTTTTCTGCTCAGACTTTGAGTTTTTCTTTGCTTTTCCTGAGAAACACAAAGATTATGAGTTACAACAAGTGTTTCTATTGAATGGGAAGGCGTGGGGATTAGTAAATCACAATAATGACTTTGTTGATGGAGTTTTACAGAGTTAATGTGCTTCACTGGAATCATCTGAACATGGGGAAATACTTAGGAGACATGTTAAGTCATCCATTCTGTCTGTACACTGCTGCAGTACTGGACCAGAGAGAGGGAGCAGAAAGAGCAGTTTTAGATGCTTCTAAGAGCTTCAGGTCATTGTCGGTTACTGAGAATTTAATAAAACATTCCTGGGTTCTTCTTAAATCCAAATAGCCCTAACAGTCTGCAGCCATTTCATTTGGCCTACTTCCTATTAACAAAGAGAGGAAGAGGAGTCATGAAGCCCATTCTGTAGGAGGACGAATGCATGTCTGGGTTCAAGAAAAAAACTCTCTGACCTACTTGTTGAGCAGATCCTGTGGTCTGTGCTAAGACTCAGTGTTTGTTAAAGAAGACATTCCTCTCTGTGTGTTTGTGTGTCCTTGTATTTGTTACTTTCTAAGACCCATTTTCCCAAAACATACTTCCAAATGCTGTTTTTGGGTTAGGATTGGAGGGGTTAGGTTTAGGACTAAGGTGTGAATTGAGTTTAGATTAGGTTTAGGGTTTGACTATAAAAATTAATGAAAAATGAATGTAATGTCCTCATAAAGATAGAAAAGACATACTGTGTGTGTGTGTGTGTGTGTGTGTGTGTGTGTGTGTGTGTGTGTGTGTGTGTGTGTG